AACAAATACCAGTGACTAAGTTTTTTCTAAATTGCCAGATTGTTGAGATTTTCCCTTTTTATCTTCCTTCTCTCCTTTGCTCTCCATCTTTCTATCTATTTTATTCTCTTCTAGGGTTCTCCAAGTCAGGAATTTGGTTGTCTTCTTTGGCATCCTTGTCCAAAGCCTATAGATCTTTGCCTCTAGAAGGCTCTTTGTAAATGTTTATTGGATCTGTGTATAGCATGGAAGAGCTATTTTAGTGTGGCCTAAAGGAATCCATATCTTAAGTCATTTTATTTAATCATAGGGGATAATTTTATTGCTTGTCAGGATTTGCCCCAATGTGTATGACCTGGATAAATGTGATATCATTTATTTATTGAGGCTATAAAGCACTTTTACTCTAAAGAATTCAACTTGCTGTGCAAAGAACTTTTTAATACTTTTTTTCTTGCTTTTTGCTGAGGCAATTGGGGTTAAGTGGCTTACCCAGGGTCACACAGCTAATAAGTGTCAAGTGTTTGGTTCAGGCCGGATTTGAACCCAGGTCCTCCTGACTCCAAGGCTGGAACTCTATCCACTGCACCACCTAGTTGCCCCTGTGCAAAGGACTTTTCTTTTTTCTTTTTTTTTTTGAAGTTTTTACATAGTTTATTTGTTCTCTGATGAAAAATTATCTTCCTGGATAAACATCTTCCATAGTGCCTTTAATCCTTCTTTTTGCCAGCACCGACATTTGCTTTTGCAGTACCCCTGATTTTCTTCATTCTGTTCTTGCGTTCCTTTCGCTGTTTTCTTGATGTCTTTTTCTTCTCATACAGGCCATGCCTTGCAAGTCTGTGCTTTGGTTCATTTTTCTTTGCATAGTCAAGAGAATCATAAATCATGCCAAAGCCTGTTGTTTTGCCACCACCAAGATGGGTTCTAAATCCAAAGACAAAAGTGATGTCTGGAGTTGCCTTGTACATCTTGGACAGTTTTTCTCGAATTTCAGTCTTGGGCACTGTGGCCTTTCCAGGATGAAGGACATCTACAACCATCTGTTTACGCTGAAGAAGTCTGTTTGTCATGAACTTCCTGGTTCTGATGGTTACAGTGTCATTCATGGTGGCAGCTGGCTCCTCGAGCGGCAGGAGAGGGATAAGAACTTTTATACAATCATTTTTTAAATACTATCATTCCATTTTTTTTCAAATTATATTCCATTGAATCCTAGTGATGTTCTGTGTGATATGAATAGATTTTGTTGGAAAATATTGCTAGTTTTGACATTTTTCTCCTCCTATTAACATTTCTCCATGTTAAATATGAACATGAATATATGTTTTTTCTTTTTTTGGAGGAGGCAATTAGGATTAAGTGACTTGCCCAGTGTCACATAGCTAGTAAGTGTCTGAAGCTGGATTTGAACTGAGGTCCTCTTGTTTTATTTATATAAATTTTATTTATATTTATACCTTGATTTATTTATATAAATTTAGATATTTATAAATACTTATTATGAGAGACAGTGTACCATAGTGTACACAGAGAACTGGCTCTGAAGTCAGGAAGACCTTGGTTCAAGTCCTGCCTCTGACACATATTATCTGTGTGATCTTGGGTCAGTTCCCTAACCTGAGTACTTAAGACAACCCTCTAAGAATATGCATTGCAGAGAGAGAACTGACCTACATTGGTTCCAGGCAGTTTCTTCACTTGGGATTTCTTTATACCAATGAGATCACAAAATTGTTCTCTATCTGTAATCCTAAATACTAATTATATATGCAACTTTTCCATATAAAATGACTTATTTGCCTTAATTTTATTCCACAATTTCCCTTGCTTTTAACCTGAGGACGTTTTCCCAGGCCAACATTTGTAGGTTCTGTCAAAGGTATTTCAAATTCAGAAATATTCTTTAGGCAAATTTATCTGAGGAATGCTACTGTGATCTGTTGAGAGGTCATCCTTAGTACTATAAGATAAACAAACAGACTTTGGGTGTGTTCTGCAATTTGTATCCAAGGAAGTTGGTTTGAGCAAACTCTTAAGTGCTAGGTAAGTAATTCCCCTGCCCTCAGTAAGCAGTAGAATTTCAGCAGCAGTGTTGGATATCCTTTAAATGTACTGTGATAAATAATTTCTCTGATTTGTATGCCAGGGCGCCATTGGATCGCTCACCCTTTTCCACACTAGTGGTCAAAAAGTTTTACAGAAAAATGACATAATTTCTGATGTTTAGTTGTCGGTTGTTGGGGAAGAAAGAAAATACCTGCACATTTGGCTTCCTAAATCAGGGAGATCTTAACCCTTTTTGTGTCATGGATGCCTTTGATGGTATGGTGAAACCTGTGCAGTCTCTTCTCAGAATAATGTTGTTAAATGTATAAAATAAAATACATAGAATTACAGAGGGAACCAATTATACTGAAATATAATTATCAATATATGTATTTCAAGGTTTATAGCTCCAGATTACGGAGCCCTGTTCTAGATTTATCAATCAACAAGAATTATTGAGTGCCTAGGTGCTGAGGATACAAATACAAAGAATGAAAAAATTTCTGTTCTCAAGGAGCTTAAATTCTAAAGGGGGAGACACTAAGTACCTTTAAAACCATATATAGGATAAATACAAGGAAAATAAGTACAAAGAAATACAAGGTAGTTAAATACAGAATTGTTGTTTGTCCTTCATTCTCAAAGAGGACCATGACATCAGGGAGGTGATACCATGACTTGCAAGTAAATTGGATTTAAGTGAGGGAGGGCTGTGCAAGGTCACCAGCCTCACTTTCTCCTCCAGAGCCATCTGGGTCCAGTAGCAAGTATAGATCAGGACGACTGGAGATTTAGGAGGGAAGGCACCAGCAGGTGGAAGATTCAGGAGATGCATAGTATAGAAAGAGGTAACTTAAGCTGAAACTTGAAGGAAGAGAGCTTCTATGAGTTGGAATTAAGAAAGGAGTATTCCAGGCATGGGAATGGCCAGTGAAAAGATAGGAAATGGAGAGTCATGCCAAGAACAAAGTGAAGGCCAGTTTGACTGGATCACAGGGTACTTAGAGGGGAATAATGTACAATGAGGCTAGAAAAACAGCTTGTGGCCAAGTTGTGAAATGTTTTAAAAGATAAACAGAGGAATTTATATTTTCTCTGACAGGCTATAGGGTGCCACTTAATTGAACAGAATGACAAGATCAGACCTGCCCTTAGGGAAAATCATTTTGGCATCCATCTGTAGAATGGACTAGAGAAGAGAGTTGTTGAAGGAGGGAGACCTATGATAATCTAGGTGAGAGGTCATGAGGGCCTGACCTAAAGTGTTAGGTGTAGGAATAGGGAGAGAGTATCCAATTTGAAAGATGTTGTGGAGGTAGAAATGTCAAGATTTGACAACTAACTGGATATGTGGAGTGAAGAGGAGTGCAGAATCAAGGATGATATTGAAGTTATTAACCTAGGAGACTAGTAATAGTGATGGCTTTTACAGAAACAGGGGAAAAAAGGTGGTTTCGAAGGAAAAGATAAATTCTATTTTACCCATGATGCCTTTGAAATGTCTAATTGGTGATTGATCATGTAGGACTGAATCTTAGAGCTTGGACATATACAAAAATACATACATGCACACATGTGTTAATCAGTTACTTGCATAGAGATCTTAATGAAACTAACGGGAGCTGATGATGTTACCAAGATGGAGAATGTAGAGGAAGAGAAAAAAGAGGACTTAGGACAGAGCTTTGGAAAATATCCATAACTGGGGACATGATATGGATAATGATCCAGCAAAGGAGTCTGAGAAAAAGTGGTTAGACTGGTAGGAGAAGAACCAAGAGAAAGTAGTGTCACAAAAACCCATAGAATATACAGGAGGAGAGAATGGCTAGAGTGTCATCAGATAGGTTGTAAAGGATGAGGACACTTTGGTGAGGACCATTTCAGTTGAGTAATTAGTTCTGAAGTCAGATTTCTTTTTTTTTTTTTTAAGCAATTGGGGTTAAGTGACTTGTCCAGGGTCACACAGCTAGTAAGTGTCAAGTGTTTGGTCTGAAGCCAGATTTGAACTCAGGTCCTCTTGACTTCAGGGCCGGTGCTCTATCCACTGCTCTATCCACTGCACCACCTAGCTGCCCCTCTGAAGTCAGATTTCAAAGGGCAGAGGAGTGAGTAAGAGGTAACAAAGTAGAATAAATGAAAGGAGTAGAGCAAGTGACAGTTTTGTTAGGAATTTGACTTAGAAAAAGAGAAGAAATGTAAGAGGATAGCTTAAGGGGATGGTAGGGTCCAGTAAAGTTTTCTTTTTCCTTTTCTTTCTTCCAAGAATAGAGGATATTGAGACATATTTAAAGTTAGGCAGGTAAAGAGTCAATAGGGAGAGGTTAAAGATTCCAGAGGAGAGGGTCTGCCTGAAAAGACTCATGAAGGTAGTGGATCAAGGGCAATTGTTGAGGGGTTGGCTAGGAAAAGAGCTGTCTTATTGTCAGACTAGGGAAAGGAAATGAGAACAAGGGATAATGTCAAGGGGTTTTGAGATAGAGAGAAAAGGAGAAGAGGGCATTCAGTTCAGATGGCCTCAATTTTCTTTCTAAAGTATAAGTTGAGGTCTTCAGCTGAATGAGATGGGACTGGGAATGTAAGTGGACATGTGAGAACACTGGAGAGCAAAGATAAAGTTTGAAATAGTTTCATTGCAATCTGAGGTAAGGAATCAATTAGGAAGGAATAAAAGGATTGCCTTGTTACAGTGAGGGTGTGTTGAGGTTGGATAACACCAATTTATACCACATCAGCATTGTTGTATATTTTTGTTTGTGTAGTTTACCCATTGATTGGAGAAGAAAATCACCATGGTTTGATAAGCATAGATTATAGTCCAGGTAATGAATACCTGTCTTCCTCTGTGAGGAAACAGAAAACACCATCTTAGTCAATGTGAGAGGCTGTGGGTCCATCCAGAGATAAAGGACAATTTTCTGTAGGCTTTCCCTAAGGTTTTTTTTTTTTTTTTTTTTTTTTTTTTACTACAGAGTGCTGAGAGGACCTCAATGGTGAGAAACCTTGAATTCTGGACAAAGATACTAATAAGACCATCGGGCACTCAACAGGTTCGGATATAATGTTCCACTTGATACAGTTATTACAGAGAACATAACTAGAGGATGAGAAAAATAAAATAAGCAAGTGTCTGTTAAAAGCTTTGTATTCAATATAAATGTTAAGGATAAAAATTATTCAGTAGGAATTTTAATGTATCTTTTTTGAGGGATTTTTGGGAATACAAGGGCTCAGAGGTAAGATGATCACAATACTATTTAATATGTGTGTGAAAGATGTTAATTATGCTTTAAAAATCATGTTGGGGCTTTGGTGTCAGGGTGGAGTAGGATTTTATAATGTCTTCCCTTTTCCCCACCAATCAAAAGCCATTGCCTGAGTTGATCTTCATACTTGGGAGAATGTCAGACAAAATGGAACAGTCATACAAGTTTATAGTGATAGAAAGGGCTCACTTAAGAACTTAAGTGTCAACAAAGAAGTTGTTGACACTTCAGTCAATCGATCAATCAACATGACAGTACCAGGCACTGTCCTTGGCACTAGACATAGAAAGACAAAAGCAAAAACAGTTTCTTCCTTTAAGAAATTTATAATCTAGCTGGAAGAGACAATATTGTACATATATAGGCATAAACAAAAAGATATATCAGGTGATTTCAGAGTAAAGGAACTAGTAGATGGAGGATTTGGAAAGTCCTCAGGGAGAAGGTTGAGCGGAACCTTAAAGGAAACTGGCTTCTTAGAGATTAAAGTAAGCAGGGAATGTACTCCAGGCATAGGGGATAGTCAGTGCAAAGGCATGGAGGGGGGAGATGTCAGTGTCATACACACAAATATTATGTGTACATACATAAAAATGTATGCATGTCAATCTGTGAACATAGACACATGGATGTGTGTGCACATAGGCATACACACAGATACAAATGAATTTAGATAGCTATTTATTTGAACATGTGAGAAGGATTTTCTAGTAATCAGTAATATAACAATTTTCAAAATACTATTATTACATAATCAGAAAACCACAACATGAGTGCTATGACATCACTTGCCACATTATACCACATATATTCTTTGAGCCATTTTTTTTCTCAAGCCTTTCATCCCACCTGGTGCTGTTAATTACACCAGGTGAGTTGAAACCTGGAGGCCTCACTAATCAACCATAATTATGTAACTCCCTATAGAAACCTCTCTACCAATAGCCTGAGTGTATTCCACAAACCAATTGCATTACCCCTTAGCAACAAAGCCTGGCAACAGCAACTGCTACACAAGAGGAAAATTAGCAAAATATTCTTTTGGGGAAAAACTCATTGGAATATCAATGTTTTTCATTATGCCAAAATTTAGCATACTTTTTCCAGAAATACCAGAGACCCTCAAATTATAAATACTGGTTTAAATGACTTTCTTGGTGAAGCAGTAGGACCTTAATATTTCTCTCATGAAGGGATTCCTGATTAGCTCTAATCCAACCCTGACCTGTATGAATTTCCCATTCTTGTTCTTAGCTTCCCATGGTTGGATGGTGAGATTGACACTATAGAGTTTATTCGATGAATTTAACCTTTGATTGACTAAACCCCTCTCTACTTACCTGTTTGAATAATACAATTTTCATTGCAATACTCCAAGAGCATGGGTAATAAGTAAATAAAGGTCTCCTCTCTTACTTGCATATATGAAGTTTCTGTAATTTCATCAGCATAGGGAGCTCTCTGCATGGAAAGGGCCTCTTGAGGCAGATTGTAAACTCTCTTAGTAGATAAGTAATGAATTGTCTAAGATGCACGGAGGTTAAGTAACTTCTTCACTTAAGTGGGAGAGGAGGGGTGGTAAAAAGATCTGGACCCAGGTCTTCCTGACTCTAAGCTCAGTTCTCTATATACTTTGTCAGGTTAAATTCTGTCACACTCAAAAGGGTGGCAGAGGATTAGCTCTCTTGCATTACTTATTTAACTCAATATTAGGGGCTAGGTTCATTTTCCCTTGCAGATATTTCAGAACAACAATGCCCTAAAAAGCTGAATGAATCAAAACTAGAATGGAGGAATGAGGGAGAACAGGTAAGGAATCAATTCTTAGATGCCGAGTTACCTAAGAAACAAGGGAACCTTGAGGTCAGAGTCTAGAAGGACTTATTAAGGCATTGTCTAGAAATTCTGTCCAGAACACTGTAGGGTTGAAAGCATAAGATCCATATGCCCATTCCAAAAGTGGAATGGACTGCCTCAGAGCATTAAATACTGACATCTTTAATTGGAAGTCAGATGATCATTTATTGGGTATGTTGTACAGTGTATTCAAGCTTCTCTTGAGGATTAGTCTAGACCAGGGGTTCTTAACCTTTTTTTTCTTTGCCATAAACTCTTTTTGCAATCTAGTGAAGACTATGAATCCCTTCTCAGATTAATGTTTTGAATAAATTAAACACAACACATAAAATTACAAGGAAAACCAATCACATTGAAATATAGATGTACATATGCTATATATAAGTATGCATATATACAACATAAATATGCCCATATATGCTGTATTTCAATGTAATTGGTTTCTTTTGTACTATTATGTATGTATATACATATGTATGTACACATACACAAACATACCCATACGTGCATAAACACCGCACCAGATTAAAGCTCCCTGCTCTAGAGTATCTCTTAGGTTTTTTCTATATCTAGGAGTCTGTAAGTCTTGATAAGGCTGAGTTATTGTATAGTGACCATGTCACCCCCTTACTAAAGAATATTTAGCAGCTTCCTATTGCCTCTGAGACAAAATACAAATTCATCTGTTTGGTATTTAAGCCCTTTACAGATTAGTTCAAGCCCTTCTTTTCAGACTTTAGCACATTACTGCCCCTCACACACCATGTTATGGCCAAACTGGCTTACTTTCTGTCTTGCTGATGTTCCACATCCCACCTTTGTACCTCTACTGTCTCCCATGCTTGAAATGGATTTCTTTCTTATTTCTACTTCTTGGAATCCCTGCATCTATTCAATGTTCAGCTCAGGTGTCACCTCTTAAATTAAGTTTCTTGAACACATTTTGTATTCTTGCCCTACCAAAATTACTTTATGTGTATGTGACATATACTTTCGTATATATTATTTATTTATCTATTGGCATGTTACTTCCCCTCCAGTAGAGTATAAGTAATCCCCTTGAGAGCAAGGGCGATTTTCATTTCTTTCATATCTTTGAGACCTAATGTAATGGCTGACACATAGTAGGTACTTTATAAGTGTTAAGTGGAAGTTGTTTAGAGGACTGGGTTTGAAAGGTGTGAGGAGGAAATATATTGCTCAGAATTTAGTTGTGGAACTGAGTTCTGCGGGTATAGGTCCAGGTAGGAGTGTATATGGGAGTTTGGAGGCTTACCAGAGCCTGTGGAGAGCCATGTGTTTTTCTCCTTGTCTTGAAAAGGTAAAATAATGTGTATGAATCACAATATAATACTGGACATAATGCTTTCTTAAAGAGTGAAAAGAGCTATCAACTCCAGTGTGACTTGATTCATGACCTGATTCTTTTGGCAAATAATGTAACAAAAAATAAGAGTGAGTTTGGCTTATGTTCACACAAGCGAGTGCAGTTCCAAGACAGGAGGAAGGGCTTGAGGTGAGTTGCACCTTTTTTTTCTTGTGACTCTTGCTTATTCCCTTACTTTGGGTAAATAGAATGACATAATACATATAAAGTGCTTTGCAAACCTTGAAGTGCTATATAAAAGTTAGTCATTGTTATTGTAAATGGTCAGGTTTTAGAAAGAGTATCGTAGCCTCCACGTATTGCATTCCTAATCAAGTCCCATCCTCATGGGTAGCTCCTCATGTGGACATTTCATCCACTCTGGCTATTTAACATGCAAGTGGTGTTGTGCTTGGAGAAATTTAGATGTATTTTTTTTTTTTTTTTTTGGTGTGTATGTGTGTGCATGCACGCACTTGCATGTAAATGTAGGTAGGTGCTGTCCTGATTGATGGCAATTAGCATTTTCTAACAGTAACAGATGTTCAGATTGCCAGGAGGCTGATACCTAACGCCCACACTGCCATCTGTTCCACTGGGCAAGGCCCGAGGAAGCAGCACCGGGCCTACAGACCTGAAGTCCTTGGTGGTGTGTATTTAACAGTATTGTGTGAAATTTTCTTTTTCTTGAGGGAAAAAAAATAATAAAGATGTTTTTGGGTTATAAATAGTTCATGCTGTTTATTATGGAATGGAGCTTTTCTGTCTGACTAGCAACTCTAGTTTCTGTGTAGTGCTAACAAAGGGAGGTATGAATGGAATACACAATGTCAGCTCTTGGTGTCAAGGCGTGAGAGGGCTGGGGGGCCTTGGGGAGGCCAAGTTTTGGTACATTCAACCAGCTCACAAGATCTAAAGAAGAAAACAAGGAGAGATGTGCTTTGGGGAGGTAGGAAGAGGCAGGAGGAGGAGAAAATAAGGTATGTTTTTCACTTGGTCAGTGTAATCTGGGTCTTCAACTGAACCTTTCAAAAGGGTTGGTTGCTCCAAAATTTGAGACTGTAAGGTTCCCAACTCTCTTCCTTGCCTGAATGGCCCTGGCCCCACAGTGTTGTGTTTGTTCCCCCTGGCCTCTCTTGACTGGTAGGTTTGTTAGAGCAGTTTTCGTTTTTGGATTCACAGACAACTTGGATACACATGTATGTGCATTTTAAAATCCACAATAATATATTAGTCTTTATTCCTCTCCCCCACAGTTCAAAGTTGTGAACCTACCATTCCTCTGCTCTTCCATTCACCCCTACCAGTTCCAAAAGTACAGTATTTATTCAGCAGACAGATGCCTATAGGGAGATCTGTTGCCTGTTCAAAAGCCACCCAGTCAAATGTACCAGAACTTAATTTTGCCTGCAGCTAACATTGCCACACAAGCTTATCCCTCTGCCCAGACCCTTAGTCTCCTTTTTTATGCCCCTTCGTTGCCCCAGTAGGCCCCTTTTGCAAACGTTGTATTCTGATCAGCTGGTTTTGTCCACAACAAATGTTTACTTCTTCTTCAGGC